GGCTCGCAGGAGCTCGTGCTTGAAGGGGGGGGCTATCTTCATGGATCGATTATTCAACACACTGGGTTACGAGGAGTTGGATTAGTCAGGAAGATTCTATTGAATTCCATCGCGTTCTGTCAGTCACAAGGGTATGAGTCACTTTGGATTTGTTATCGCTGGGATTTCCTTGGGTATATTAGAATGGTTTCATTCTCGTTTCTTTTCTCTTCATCTTCTTTCCTTTCGATACGCAACGACTTCTGTACCTACCCTGTCTATTACTATACAATATCATATCCTCTTCTTTACTCAAGAAGACCACTGTGCTGCTGCTCCCCTTGTCCTATTGACCCTTACCAAACACCAGAGTCCCTCAGGACCCCTATTGCGGGCTCCCCCACCGACCTCTACTACCTCCTTCATACCCTGCGGAATACTCGCTACTCGCCCTCTTGAGATCCGAGGACCTGGGCCAGCAGGGTAATAGACAACGATGACACAGATATAGACACCGAGAAGCACCCAGTTGCGGGTCCATTCACTGAAAAACCTGAAGAGAACTATAGCGACAAGGGGTCCCTATCATGCAGCATTTGAGCCAAGGTCTCATAGAGCTTGGCGTCAGTGTCCAAGACCTATCACTAATTCAAGAAATCATGTAGTAGCAGCATAAGTAGATCAACAGTCATGTAGAGCAGCTGCAAACCAAGTTCATGGAAGAAAGAGTCCATTTGGACAACAATCTTAGCCAAATTGTATCCCAATTATGGTCAGAGAGCACCATAACCACCAACAGGATCACTCCATTTCTGGAACAGATGAGTGAGACCGGTGGGATACAACAACAGTGGCAGGAAGAACAAGTCAAGCACATAATAGCACTGAGCAACTGTATTTAGCAGCTTCCACAAGATCGCCAGATTCAGCTCCATATGGAGATCACCGCAGCCTTTGAGAGGATAGAGAGGGAAAGGGAAGAATGAGCAGCCTTGAGAAATGAGGCAGCCCCAACTCGGAAATTGATTGACGCTATGATGTTGCAAGTGAAGAATACAGCCAGTAAAATGGCTGTAGCACCGGTTGTGAACTCAGGAGGAAGTTGGATAGTACCCTCTCCATCTCCCTCACAGAATTCTTCAGTAGGCACCATCCTAGATGGAGAACCTGAGGAACAGCTATTAAATTCCGAGTCAGTTAATAACCTAACTAAATCACCCGCATCATCCAATAACCATAGTAGCCAGAACAGGAAGAACAGACCTAACAGGAATAGAGGAAGCAAAGGCGGAGCTACTGTTCAATACATGGGTATTTTAACATCTTTTTAACATGTATATTAATTAAAAACAAGAATGTAGAGATAACAGTTATCGATATTTTATGTTGTAGTCATAATATTGTCATTTTGAATTGTTATTAACCTACTTAAACCAAAGAATTTGATTCATAACCACGGAGTTTTGTAACCAGTTAATTGTTATTACAATACCCATTGTCCAACAGCAGGTGGAGCTCCACTAACTCCACCATAATCCAGCTCTTCTGATTCAGAAGATGAGTTCCATTAGCAAATGGAACGTCGGAAAAGAAAGGAAGAATAAAGGCCCCATAACAGGCAGTGAGAAATAGAACTCTTACATCTATCTTGTGCCACCTTGGGAAAGATACCCAAACAGGCTAAAACCCAATCTCCAGAAAATCTGAGCAGAACGTACGACTCTGGATAGACCAAATAGAAATGTTGATTGACCTCCCACAGAAGGTTCAGTATGATGACAGGACCAAGGTTTTGTGGGAATTGCTAGAGTTTACGGGTATCACATCAAACTTCTACCGAAATTTCGTAGAACGGTTAAAGTTGGACAAAAGAATCAGGACTTGGGAGAATTTTAAGTAGGAATTATAGAACCAGTATAGCAACTGGATAAGTCAAGAATATGATAAGTAGTAAATGGAAAAGCTCCATCAAATTGGCTCAACCGATGACTACATCAACGAGATGCAAAATTTGGAATGAAGTGCAAAAGTCAGAGCTACCATAATGGAATTTATGACCCTGACTGGAATAAACTTTACTTTAGAATAACGACTCTCCCACGTGATTGAAGAGGCGGAAGATTTCGCAGACTGGCTGGCATAGGTCAAGAAGCTGAGACGCAAAGATAGTGAAGTTAAATCCCGCATTGAGATCCTCCATAGCAAGGATGCGGTAAACTTTGTGAACCCTCACAGTCGGAACAGCGAAATCACGCAATAATCCTCGCATCTCGGAAACCTTTCTCGGTACCAGCAAACAACCGCAAACTATTGGAAGACTTAAATCTCAACAAGAAAGAAAATTGGGAGTGGCAGTAGGAAGAAAAGTATTTCTGTTGCGGTCGAGATAACTACTTCGCGAAAGCTCACGTTACAACAAGCAAGGTTAGGTTAACGAACTTGAAGAGGAAAGAACCACAGAAGAGGGGTGAAAATAAATGGAAATTAGGACCCCAAAGTGAGGCATTTAGGTCGATAAATACGACTCTAGAGACTTAAATTGATTGAGTATTTCTATTTTTGCTTTACAGAATTTGTTTCTGGTATTCTCTATATGTTGTGTTACGGGTTTTATGTTTAAGTTCAAGGCAACAAGGGTTCTCTATGGTTTGCAGTTGTATTATCTCATTGGATACAAAATGATTTTATTTCTTATGTCCTATGTGCGGAAATTTAATTCTCTTTATACACACTCTCAGGATTGGCTTAAACCCCTAAATGTATCACAGCTCGACCACCCTCACCTGCCTTGCCATCGAGAACTCTACGGAATCGTGTCGGTGGGTGAAGGATCGGGATGATATTGGTTATGTTGGATGAGATAGGAAGGTGCACGGAAGATACAGTAAGCACTAGGCGCTTCGGGTTAGGATTGCGGTAAGAAGGATCGGGATCGGTTATAGGACTTTATTATGTTCGTTTGAGATTTCTTTAGGTGTGATTACTGGGGTTAGTAATCAGGTTTCTTTTTGGGGGTTATATTCGGGGCTTCGTCCTCACTCTCTGTACTTCTCTTTCTTCCTTCTCTACGCAACGTCTTCATTCTGTTTGTTAGTAAATCCTATTCTGTTTCGATCGGTATTCAGCTCGGTCCCCTGTCCTCATCCTAGAACGTATCCTGAGTCGATCCTTGCCTCGGTACCTATCTACATCTTTGTATTAGAACCCCGCCCTGTTAGAAAATGCCTGTTGTGTAAGTGTTGTATCATGATCTTCATCAAAACCGAATTTTTCATATAAACCCAAACACCCCGCACCCAAGCACAACAACAACAATTCATCACAGAATATCGAAACAAGTAATACCAAACCAACGATACCTTACTCTACCCATATGAAACAAACACAATACATCTTCACATACTCAAAGAACTCAACTCGAGATCGAGATCTCTTGGGAACATCCCGCGACTAGTACAAAATATACTGACATGGTCAACATACCTCTAGCCAGGGAAACAGAGGACTGGATCATATCCTGAGACTGTATCCAACGTGTAAAGATACCCACTCAACCTCGTCCAAAGCTCCTCATTATAAGACAAGCTCATGATACCCCTGTACCTAACTCCTATACTCACACTACTCAACCCCTCACCCTTCACATCGAGAAACATCTGGAAACATCAGCAAGATTGTACATTTTAAGCAGCCTCCCAACAGTCTCCTGAGTCTCCTGAGATTCTCCTGAGACAACAAAACGGTTTTTGATTCTCTGGAGGCTCAGGAGATGCTTTTTGGAAATTGTTCAGTTTCCTGATGAAGGGCTGTTATCTGTAAGGTTAGCTCATTTGCAGGAGAGGACATCATCACAACAAATCGATAGCTCACTGAGCATCAAACAACTATCCATTGGGAGCGGAGGAGTGTTGGCTTCTATAACAACAACTGTATGGTCAAAGGATGCTTCGTATCACTCTAAAACATATACGATGAAGCCCTAGAATAGCTGGTCATTAGGCTGTTGTGGGTGTTAACTGAGAATGAGATGACGATTGAACAACATACTTTTTGAGTAAAGGCATCGGGAAACAAAACTCTTGTAAGTGCTATCCTGATAGTGCATCAGGAAAATTTCAACATGTTCTCCAAAAAAGGAGCCGATTGATTACCTGAACACTCTGATTGGGGCCATCTCATTCCCCTGATGGAAGGAAAGTAGCCTCTATAGGGACTGATCTACTCGCTCTCTCCAACTGCAAAAAAGACACTTCGGGAGTACTTGGACAAAATGTTAGACTCTGGCAAAATAGCCCCATCCACTAACCCCGCAATGACACTCATCCTGTTCATTCCGAAGGCAAATGGGAAGCTACGGTTATGTATCGATTATCGAGGCTTGACCGCCATCACAATTAAGAATCGATACCCATTGCCACTTATGATAGAGTTGATCGACGCAATAAAAGAAGTGATCTACTTTACCAAAATTGACCTGAAGAACGACTAGAATCTTATTCGGATCGCCAAAGTTGAAGAATGGAAAACAACTTTCAGAACAATGTATGGTCACTACGAATACAGAGTGATGCCTTTCAGATTGACCAATTTTCATGGATCGACTAGTGAACATACTGGGATACGAGGAGTTGGATTAGTCAGAAAGGTTCTATTTGGTTCTATCGGGTTCTGTGGGTCGTAAGCGTGTGAGTCACTTTGAGTTTGTCATCGCTAGGATTTCCTTGGGTATATTAAGGAGATTTTGCTTTCGTTTCTTGTTCTTCTTCTTTTCTTTCTTTTACTACGCAATGTCTTCTGCATATATGCTGTCTATTACTATACACTATTATCTTCCTCTTCTTTACTCGAGAAGACCACCGCTTCGCTGCCCCCTGTCTTATTTGCCCTTGCGGAGGCTGAAGTCCTTCAGGACCCCTATTGCGAGTTACCACACCGACCTCTACTATCCTCTTCGTACCCTGCGGAATACTCGCTACTCGCACCCTCGAGATTACGTTGCGTCGTCATTCGCACCGTACGACATGTCCACCCCCGACCCATCTACATGGGCCGCACCCAATGATGTAGAAGAATTCAAGCGGCAGTATGAGGTCAACGCTGTTGAATTATTTAACAACATCGCCGTCCTTGTCCAACGCATCCGCCTCGAGAGGGATACCTCCCGTACACAACTCGCCGCCGCCAATGAAACCATTTACAACCTTGAGGAGCAGGTAATCCGGCTCAACCTCGACTTCAATGTCGCTCGCGCCGCCCCCGCTCCCACCGTCTCCATCCCCGTCACCGCTGCTCCCCCATCTACTACTGTCCCCGCCTTCAGGTCCGAAAAGTTCCCAGACCCTGAAAAATTCGACGGCACCCATACCAAGCTCCCCGGATTCACCACCCAACTCCGAATGAAACTCGAGGTCAACCATGATCGATTCCGAAACGAGGCAGCAAAGGTTATCTATGCCGTTAGCCGCTTGGAAGGAAGGGCCCTTGACCAGGTCGTTCCACTCGTTAACGCTAACCCTGCTGCCCCCTTCTCCTCCGTCACTGCCTTCGTTGTCCACCTGGAAGCCTCATTTGGAGACCCAGATCCCCGGGGTACCACCCGTCGCCAACTCGTCGCCCTGAAGCAAGGCAAAGGGGACTTTGCCACCTATTACTCCCAGTTCCTCCGTATTGTAGCCTACCTAGACTACAACGAAGGAGCCAAGATCGATGCCCTGGCCGAAGGACTGTCGGAAGACCTGAAGAATGCCATGACATACCGGACAGACAGGCATAACACGGTAGAGGCATACGCGACCATGTTAATGACAATCGACAACCAGGTTCGGGGCCGTAAAGCTGAACAACGGGCCATCCGTAATACAATGGGACAATTTACCACCCCCGCCGCTGTCGCACACCCATCTCATACCGCCGGAGGCCTCGCCCCAATGGACCTCTCCGCCCTCCAGGCCCGTTCCGCTCAACGCCCTGCCGCCGAACAAAGATACACCTTTGTCAATGGACAACGTAAAACCTCTGCGGCCGAAAAACAATGGCGAAGGGACAACAATCTCTGTATGTACTGCGCCAACCCCGGCCATGTCTTCGCCAACTGCCCCTCTGCCAATCGCCCGCGTGGTAATCAACCGGTTATGAGGGGCTCTCTCCTCGCACCTGCTCATAATGCCGCAGACTTCGCTGCCCCACCGATCGCTAGCCCCGACTCTTCCGAGTCGGGTTTTCAGTAGTCCCGGGCTTGATCAATGGCCCCTGCCTGGGACCTTCTAATCTTTCTCCTTTGTCTGCGTTCTTTATCTCTGGCTTCTCGGTATCGTCTGTGGAGGATAAATTGGATGGGGATCATTTTGTTGCTTCGTGTAAAATTGTAAACAATAAAATATCCATTCAAACCCATGCATTGATTGATACCGGTCGCTCCGGGTTCGCATTCATTGATGAAACGTTCGCGTACCATAACAACCTCCCGTTTCTCTCCCTTAAATCACCCCGCACTCTTTAAGTCATCGAAGGACGGCCCATATCCTCTGGACAGATTACTTACCTCTACTACCTACCGCTATCAATTGACTCCCACCATGAAACTATCCCCTTCTTCGTCACCAAACTCGGCTCATATTCACTCGTACTCGGAATCCCTTGGCTTCAATTACACGACGCCACATTACGGTTTAAGGACAATAGCATACTGTTCGACTCCGAATACTGCAAGCGCAAGTGCAACTCCTCCGTAACACCCGTTCCTATGAGTGGGATTACACCACCACCCCGTTTCCACCTCGTCAATTCAGCTGCTCTCTGCCGCTTCGCTCGAAGGGACAAGCTCCAAATCTTCAGCACAACTATCGTGGAAATAGACCAAGCCATGCGCAAGCCCCCTACGGAAGACTGGAGGAACCGAGTCCCAACCCGGTACAAGAAGTTTCATAAGATGATGGACGAGAAGTTCGCTAACGAGATGCCGCCTCGCCGCCTATATGACCATAAGATACCGCTTAAGGAAGGAAAAGAGCCCCCGTTTGGGCCACTTTATGGTATGTCCCGTGAGGAGCTCATAGTGCTTAAGCAATACATGCAGGACAACCTCCAAAAAGGCTTCATTCAGGCCAGCTCTTCACCTGTCGGTGCTGCTGTCCTATTTGTTAAAAAGGCCGATGGAACACTACGTCTCTGTGTCGATTATCGTGGCCTCAACGAACTCACTGTTAAAAACCGCTACCCGCTGCCGCTCATCCAAGAAACTCTCGACCGCCTCTCCAAAGCCAAGTGGTACACCAAACTTGACCTTCACCAAGGATATAATCAGATCCGAATGGCTGAGGGTGAAGAATAGAAAACAGCCTTCCGTACACGTTACGGACATTTCGAATATACGGTGATGCCCTTCGGCCTTACCAATGCGCCGGCCACCTTCCAACACTTCATTAATGATTGCGTCCGTGACTATCTTGATATGTTCTGTACAGCCTACCTTGACGATATTCTTATCTACAGCGACACCTTCGAGGAACATCAAGTACACGTCGAAAAGGTCCTGGAAGCCCTAGAAAGAAATGGAGTATTGCTGAAACCAGAGAAATGCGAATTTCATACACAAAGCACCACCTACCTCGGCCTCATCATCGGACCCAACGGCATTAAAATGGATCCAAGGAAAGTGGAGACAGTGAAGCATTGGACCGTCCCCAAAACAGTTCAAGATGTGCAAGCATTCCTAGGTTTCGCTAATTTTTACCGCCAATTCATACGTGGGTTCTCGGAACTGGCTTCCCCCTTACCAGACTGACACGCAAGGACATATCGTTCGAATGGACACCCGAAGCCCAAACTGCCTTCAACGCCTTGAAAAAAGCCTTTACAACCGCTCCCATCCTTACCCACTTCGACCTGGAGAAAGAAATTACCGTGGAAACCGATGCATCTGACTATGTCTCTGCCGGTGTGCTCTCCCAATACGATGATAATGGTACCCTTCGACCCGTCGCATACTTCTCAAAGAAGCACTCCCCCGCCGAATGCAACTACGAGATTTACGAGAAGGAATTACTGGCGATTATTCGATCCTTTGAGGAATGGCGACCGGAACTTGAAGGGGCTGCATACCCCATCGCCGTCATATCCGATCATAAGAATCTCCAATACTTTATGCGTACTAAACAACTCAACCGGAGACAAGCCCGGTGGGCGGAATATTTATCACGGTTTAATTTCGTCATTAAGTACCGACCAGGGAAACAGGGAGGGAAACCGGATGCATTGACAAGAAGATCAGCAGATCTGCCTGGAGAGGGGGATGAAAGACAATTACACCAGAGTCAAATTGTATTAAAGAAGGAGAATCTTGATGCAAAGCTAAGTTTATTGGCGGGTTCTTTCTCAAATGAGCCCGCTGAAAAGAACGCCTCACTGAATAGACTATTAGATGAAGGATATAGCGCTGACCCATTTCCACAGAAGATACTGGATATGCGGAACAAAGGTGAACGACAATCAAAGGACATATCACTCGCCAAATGCACCGAAGTTGAAGGCCGATTGCTCTAACGATGTAGCATATATGTACCCGACTACGACCCTCTCAAGCTCCGAGTCCTCCAACTTTACCATGACGCTGCCTCTGCCGGACACCCTGGATGCGAAAAAACATTCGAACTCATCAGTCGAGACTACTACTGGACGCGAAAAAACATTCGAACTCATCAGTCGAGACTACTACTGGCCCCTCATGCGGAATTATATTGCCCGCTACGTTCGGAACTGCCACACCTGTCAACGAAGCAAACCCAACACCCATGGAAAACTCGGCGTACTTCGACCTTTACCAATTCCCGAACAACCATGGCAGGAGGTATCAATGGACTTCGTCACTGGCCTACTGGTGAGCGAAGGGTACGATGCGATTATCGTAGTTGTTGACCGGTTAACAAAGATGCGACATCTCCTGTCCTGTAATACCACCGTCAACTCCGAAGACATCGCCCAACTATATCTGCGATATATATGGAAGCTCTATGGACTACCCACACATGTTACCTCCGACCGCGGTACGCAATTTACAGCCAAGTTCTGGAGGGCTCTCTGTAAACACCTCGACATCGAAGCCAGAATGTCCACCGCCTTCCACCCAGAAACCGACGGCCAAACTGAAAGGCTGAACGCCATAATGGAACAATATCTAGGTGGGTATGTCTCTTATCAACAGGACGATTGGGTAAAATGACTCCCTATGGCAGAATTCTCCGCCAATAATCAGGTCTCCGCATCCACCAAAGCTACACCATTCTTCGCGAACTATGGTTTCCACCCTCGGTTTACAGTGACGATCAAATCGCTTGACAGGACCCCACCAAGCCTCAATGCTAAAGACTTCACCTCGAAGATGAAAGAACTCCACGAACACCTGCGCTCCAATATTCGGACGGTGCAAGACCAACAAGAGCAGGCCGCTAATACCAAACGAACGCCGGCTCCGCGGTACGATATCGGCGATATGGTGTTTGTTTCAGCAAAAAACATCCGAACCACCCGTAACTCTCGGAAGTTGGACTGGAAGAAACTGGGACCATTCCCCGTCAAAGAAATCATATCGCCATATGCATACCGAATCGACCTACCTAGGAGTATGAAAGTGCACCCCGTCTTCCATGTATCGTTGCTAAACCCCGCCGCAAATGACCCTGTCCCAGGGCAAACTCAACCACCACCCCCGCCTATTATCGTTGAACAGGAAGAGGAGTATGCAGTTGAGGAAATCTTGGACTCAAGGGAAACAAGAAACAACGGCCTCCAATATTTTGTTAAATGGACAGGCTATACTGACCCTACCTGGGAACCCGCCGCATACCACGATAACACCGCCGCCGTTGATACCTTCCATACACGTTACCCCGACAAACCTGGACCATTAGAAGGGAAGATTAAGGTTAAGGCTCGCAGGAGCTCGCGCTTAAAGAGGGGGGCTACTTTCATGGATCGACTAGTGAACATACTGGGATACGAGGAGTTGGATTAGTCAGAAAGGTTCTATTTGGTTCTATCGGATTCTGTGGGTCGTAAGCGTGTGAGTCACTTTGGGTTTGTCATCGCTAGGATTTCCTTGGGTATATTAAGGAGGTTTTGCTTTCGTTTCTTGTTCTTCTTCTTTTCTTTCTTTTACTACGCAACGTCTTCTGCATCTACGCTGTCTATTACTATACAATATTATCTTCCTCTTCTTTACTCGAGAAGATCACCGCTTCGCTGCCCCCTGTCTTATTTTCCCTTGCCGACGCTGAAGTCCCTCAGGACCTCTATTCTGAGTTACCACACCGACCTCTACTATCCTCTTCGTACCCTGCGGAATACTCGCTACTCGCCCCCTTGAGACCAATACACCGGCATCATTCCAAGTTATGGTCAATATCATCATCAGGAAACTGAACAATTTCCAAAAAGCATCTCCTGAGCCTCCAGAGAATCAAAAACCGTTTTGTTGTCTCAGGAGAATCTCAGGAGACTCAGGAGACTGTTGGGAGGCTGCTTAAAATGTACAATCTTGCTGATGATATTCAAGGATCTGTTTGACCAATGCCTTGTTGTTTACCTGTTTTATAGATCGATTAGCTAATACACTGGGTTACGAGGAGTTGGATTAGTCAGGAAGATTCTATTGGGTTCTGTCGGGTTCTGTCAGTCGTTAATGTATGAGTCACTTTGGATTTGTCATCGTTGGGATTTCCTTGGGTATATTAGGAGAGTTCGCCTTCGTTTCTTGTTCCTGTTTCTTTCCTTTCTTTCTTTACGCAACGTCTTCTATACCTACGCTATCTATTACTATACAATATTATTTTCCTCTTCTTTACTCAAGAAGACCACGGTTTGCTGCCCTCTTGCCCCGTTGACTGTTACCGACGCTAGAGTCCCTTGGAACACCTATTACAAGCTCCCACACCGACCTCTACTACCCCCCTTCGTACCCTGCGGAATACTCGCTACTCGCCCCTTGAGAATCTGGATGACATCTTGATGTATTCAAAGTCTAAGGAATAGCATATCGCTCTTGTATGGAAGATTTTAGAACGATTACAACAACACTATCTCTACGGAAACATCGAGAAAATTGCATGGTATCAATAGAAGTAGGACTCCTGCTATTCACTCTCTCAGGAAAGGGAAACCAAGTCTCGCGTGAGAAAGTGAAGGCGATCACGTAATGATTAGCAATGATCAAGATCAAAGAACTTCAATACTTTCTAGGTTTGGCCAACTTCCTATGACTATTCATCCACAACTGCTCTGAAGTTAGTAGACCATTGACCAATCTCCCGAAGAAAGAGGCCGTATGGAAATAGGACAGGGAACAGCAAAAAGCTTTCGATGAGCTCAAGAGGAGATTTACGTCCACTCCAATACTCCGACATTATGATAAATACCACGAACCAATGATGAAAACTTATGCGAGTTACTGGGCTTAGGCCGCAGTATTTTCTCAAGTCTTCGAGGATAGTATTCTACACTCAGTAGTATACCAATCTCGCAAGTTCAATGAGGTAGAGGTCAACTACAAGATTTATGACATGGAGATGCTCGCTATAGTTTCTGCGGTTTTGATCTGGAGACATTAGCTGAGGAATTATGACCTAGGGGCATTTCTTTTGCTGAGGGCTTTACTCGATCGGGATGGCTTGGCGCGAGTGATCTTGTGTAATTGGCTCCAGCGGAACTCTTGAGTATGACATCGTATGCTTGGTTGGAAGCTAAAGCAGTACAGTGGGACATGGTAATGTGGTGGGGGTTATTGGTTACTCCTAAGCGAGGAATTCAGTCACTGGCGGAGATCCTTCTCACAATCGGGATCTTGGCGCGAGTGACATCTGATGATTAAGCGTACCGATTTTCCAGGCAGGCGTAAACAGCAACGGTGTCATGTTCTATTCAGTAGTTGGAGATGTGTAGGTGATAGAGTAGACTGATTAGGGTGCCATACCGAGGATTGCAGCGTTGCAGTATTGTGTTGTGGGCGGCTACTGGTGGTGTGTGGGGCCGTTTTTTCGGGTTCGTGCTGGCTGTTGTTCCGAACTTGTAGTGGTGGGCAACGATCCAGGAGCAATGACGTGGCGGTTTAGACCTTCTGCGGGGTGGCGGTGGGCAATGACGTAGACCTAAGTGCTGCAGCGTTTGCTTTTCACTGGAGCAACACCATGGTGGTGGGCTACACCTTCCTTTTCGCGGGGAAACTCAATGGTGCTGTACAAGGTCGTAGACATGGTCGGACTAAACGCTGCACAGGTGGGACTACTTTTATTAGAGCAACGCCATTGACCTTCTATTTCAAACACTAACACAGCATATGAAAGCATTGGGAAAGATCTCCAGTAGTGAGGTCTTTACGTAATTATGCAAGCAATACTGATATGCTTTCCGCTGGAGGTGATTGCATGTTAAATTAAATAGTTTCATCGCTTCTGTCGATGCTGGATCCTTCTTGGTCGTAGCTCTTACCGTGATAGGAGGTAGGTATGAATCAATTGGTTTCTGATGCAGGATTTACTAGGGTGGAGGTCTTGGCGCGAGTGAGATCGTGTATTTGGCTTTAGCGAAAGTTACAGTTTGAGAGAAGGGGTTGTTGGCGGAGGGGGATTCTGTCTCGTGTTGATCGGAGAATTTTCATAGGTTTCGGAGTAATTTCCATGGGTGGGAGTGGAGAAGTTCACGATCAGAGGTCTTGGCGCGAGTGATGCCGTGTGTTTGGATGTAGCGGAATTACGGTTGGGAGCGAACGTAAAGTGTGCTAAATGGATGAATCAACTTGCTACTTTATTGATTGCATATGTACCATGATGATGATTATGGTAAGAGGGAAAGCCTCATGCTTGCCTCTTAATCCACTCCTAAATACAGGCCACTATAACATCATGTGATCGTGTGTACTCTTGGGTTGATGCCAAATGCTTCCTTCGTGCTTGTTACACCGACCACCATTCTCAGCTCGTCTGCTTCAACATAACCTACCCCTACAGAACGGGGTTGTTGCCATGGCATCTTATTGAGTGGTAATGATGTTGGGTGTGTTAGTTAGAGAAAATATATGTAGAGAAGTGTACTAATTGAGCATGTTATTCCAACTAACTAGAGGGGATAATGCCCCATATTTATACTAAAGAAAGGTAACACAAAACATAGTGAATCATAGCCGTATAAGTAATAGAAAGACATGACAAATAAATACCAGTAAAAGAATGAGTCAGAACCCGTGACTCATAATGACAAATGAGAATCCTCCAATACTATGAAATGTGCTAAGCGTACTATTTCAAGATGAGTAATGTGGAGGGTTGATTGAGGTGGAGAGGTTCGGCGATTGATATCTTATGATTAACTGTAGAGAATCGGCCCCCGGGGGGGGGGGGGGGGGGGATGAGGAATGGGCGATATCGCGAGTTATTTGCAATCTTTGGACATGGAAATGACATATCACCTCCGGTGAGCTGTTGTATTTAGAATCTGCACTGTTGGGAGATTACAGCTGACAGGGCGAGGCGGGCTATTGGAGGTTGTGCGGCAAAAGCGATAAGGCTGCAAGAAACGTAGTGCAAACCGCGCTGTTGCGCTGGAGCAACGTCGTTATGCTGGCCGCTGTGCTGCGGAAGAAGGAATGCTGCGGCGACATCATATCAGCCGCAGTGTGATTAGGCTTGGTGCTGGGCAACGCCGTTCTGCTGGTGCTAGACAACGCCGCGGTGTGGGGCAACGGCGTGGTGCTGAGGGCGACGGAGTAGTTACATGTAGTGCTGCAGTCAATATGGCGTGGTACAGAGCAACACCATAGATTTAGTGATGGTGCTTCGAGCAATGCCCTCGTGCTGAGCAACGCTGTAGACCCGATCACTGCTACACCTTGCCTTTTACTGGAGCAACGCCCCAGGGGTGGTGCTTGGCAACCGCCTAGATTAGCCTGTTATGCATATGGCGGTGTGGTGTGGTCTACTGTGCAACGGCGGTAGTATATACGGGAAGCGGCGTGGAGATATTGGGTACGCATTCTTTTTGCACGAGCATTAATGCGGTGGTGCTGGGCAACGCGGGGGGGGGGGGGGGGGTAGACCTGGGTTGGCCTTAAATGCTTTCGCTGTAACAACGGCGGTGATGGAAACATTGTGCAGGCGTAGTGCTGGGCAACGAAGTAGAGTAGATTTGGCCATAGTCCACCTTACTTTAGTTGTGCTTTTGTGCTGGAGTAACACTGTAGACATGGCGCTAAGGGCCGAGTAGGATGAATACAGTACCAAAAAAGCGGGTGGATCCAGTACCATATCTGGCAAAATACCGTATGGTTACGGTATTGTGACGGTATTGCTACCGTGCTATAATAGTTAAGATTCCGATTTAATTCGGAAGTTTTGCACAACTCCGTATTGGTACAGTAGATACCTATTACATCCTCTTTTTTCGTACTGTAGTTATTCTCCAATACATTCTGTAGCACAATTGGTCGGAGGTCTTGGTATGAGCGATGTCGTGCGCTCGGCCGAGGCGAAATTACGGGTGTTGAGGAGAAGTTGGTTGTTGTGGGTTGTTCTGCCTACGCATATGAAAAGGTGGTTGTTGTGATTATGTACTTAGTGTTGCGGGTTATGCTGCTTTCGTATGCAGTGGGGGGGCGGTGGGAGTGATTGGCGTGGTTGCGCTTGGAGAATTCAAGACTTGGCGCGAGTGACATCCTATGAGTAATGTAATAAAATATCAAAAGCGGAAATATCCAATTCTTCCTCCTCCTCTTCATTGATCAGAATTATGAACTATCACTCAGTTTTCTTTGTAGGCACGACATTCCATTCCTCAGCCCCTCACCCAAAAACTAGCTTTTCAATCTATTACATGAAATCTTATTTCTATAATCAAAGCAGAGAAAAAGATAGAGAAAAAGTAATAGAATAACTCCATCTACTAAAATAAGATTCCTTGATTTTGGTTGCGGAGCTATAATCGTTTTAGTCGGGTGGCCGCTCTACGGGCGCGTGAAGCGCTCGGGGTCAAGGCTTCCCCACCGTACTCCCTTGGGAGATTGAGGAGGCCAACCCTAACTTTGTCAATGACCACAACTGCGTCCTGGCAAGAACCATGGCAACCACAAAACCTACAACCATATCCGGGAAAGCAAAATTAATCCCTATATAGATAGGGGTAAAGTTCCTGAAAATTATCATCTGGTACGAGATGGGCAAAATCCCGGATAGCAAATTCCTTTATGTGAAAAAAGAAGTGACCACCCAATCCTCCGGGATAGCAATGGATCCGCCATATTGGGATCCGCCAATGCAAGGTGCGACTGTATTTAGAGCGCAGGGATTAGTCTTGTCGTACCTGGTTCCTGATCATTTGTTTCAATTCAAGTACGGATAACCGTAGGCTGTATATAGTTTGTATCAGCGGATGGTTAAGTAATTACACAGACGTCGAGGTTGCCTTTTACAGTGCGTATTAGGGAAGATTATATAGGGGGCAGTTCAACACAAATGACCAGATCAAGGAAATTGAACGTCCATGTGAGCGCCCGCTGAAACGAATTCTTGCGGTGCTCACTTGGATTATATAATCATCTCGTAGTGTTATGACTACTAGATTTAGAGGCTCAAGGTTATCAGTAACATAGTGGCCACATATTGTATACCGAAACTACAGGTAGTCAACATACAATAGTCACAGAGTCTGTAGCGACAAGTGCACGTGGGATAGGGTTATCCAAACTCGGTCAGGCTTGTTGAATGTTCACCCGATTGTTTGATTGATTCACCAAGTACTAGTACGTCCAGGAATGTTCACGCGAAGAATATAAGAAAGCTCAGTTCGTGAAAAATTAAACCCTAGTGGTTCTAATATATAGATACAACACTACCAAGCTCCCCCCTCCCACCACCCAAAAAGGAAAACAAGAAAGAATGAGAAAGGACGAAAGAAAAAGAAGGGAAAAAGACCCACCGTAGATCTCCCCCCGCCCCCGGGGGGCCTTCGAAAACAAAGACCAGAACCACCTGTCACATTTCAACCGTCCACAGTCTAAGATATATATCAGTAGAGCTACTTGAAGAATAATGTCTTTATATACAAAAGACCTTCAAGACGAACATTGATAAATAGAGGTTTGCGGGATCACCTACAGAAGCAAAGAGCGTTATGATCAGGTTGAGACTTATGCAGGTGCCGGAGGGGCCATGATGTGTATCCTCAGAGATTTGGATTCCCAATCATTTAATTCCTCGTCGTCGTCGTCGACAGCCCCTTGGTTGGCTATCTTTTCAATCTTCTCTATTACTTCGCCATTCCAACTACTGGAAATGACGGTGGGTGCCAAGTCGATATCGGGCATCTCAAGAGTCCTAAAGGAGGTAGTCTTAAGCGTGATCATTGCTTTTATGGTGTGGATACCCGGGGTTGTCTTGAGCTCTACTGGCAGTGTGCAGTCATGGTTACTATCGATCGTTTCATAGTCTGTGTTCATCGGGTAGATTTGAGTGATGCCATATTCAGACCCGTAGTTGAGAATCGTCAAGTTTACTGGGTCCTGTGCTAGGTTCTTGAAGCGGAGTGTGATCGATTCCCCTTCGGGTATTTGGTAGATTCCATTTTCAGGTTCTGGGGTCCGGATATCAGGATCAGGACGTTTGAAGACAGGTCAGTCAGCACAGAGGGATATTCCTTACCTCGATCCAATATTTCAAACGTGAAGTTGCCCCGTAGCCCCGAAGGCATCCTGATGTTCTTTGACTCTCGGGTAGAGAAGAACTGCCCTAGGTGTGCCGCACTTGTAAGAACCATCTCTGGATCACGTGAAGATGGCACATTGGGGAACGGTTTGTTGTCCTGGCTTGGATCCCACAATTCGTATTCTCGGCGGTCATTCACCACTAGGTGAAAATTTATACTGCCTCTGTCATCGTCCGAAAGCAAGCTCAATGGAAATGTACCACTACCGTACTTTTTCCAGTCCATATTGCGAATTTGGTCCAGCATCTCCGTCTGGGGAATATCGGTTGGGATATCCGAGCGCTGTCGGAGCTTGATCCGTATGGGGCTGGGTCTCGCCAGAAGAACTATTTGGGTACCACCTGGCAGCTTTTCAATAGGGTCTCCAAGGATCTTGGCCTCCGATCTCATCCCGAAAGCCTGGGTAACAATAACCTTGGATATACGGCTTGTAGGATCGGTTAGATCGGTGGCGTTCCACGGGTAAATCGCATACACCGACCCCACAGAGATCCCGTGTGCCTCACCACCCCTCAATTTCACGTTACCGTGCACTTCGGACTTGGTAGCGGAGATAGTATGGATGTGTTTGGTACCGTCGGCACCGTTAGCTCTGAAGAAACAACGCTCTACGCTCCCCGAGACAACTCGTATCGAAGTCTTTTGCGATACGTGTGTACTGTGTCAACTGTTGTTGGAGCCACTCCGAATCTCTCTCAAGGTTTTTGTAGACATCACTCGTGTGGGTGAGCATTGAGGCCGCATTCAAGAAGATTTGTTTCCACTGGAAGCTATCTGTGCCCTGGTGCGGCACACCAAAAAAGAGCACACCATATGTCGAAAGTTCAATTGCCTTGTGGTGTTCAAGATCGCCTTCTCCGGTAGAATGCGAGTGTATGAGAGCCTGTAGGTTCGTTCAGGTCAATCGATGACAGTGGAAACTAGGGAGACCTGATCAAAGGTACACTTTTAACAATGATACCCCCTATACTATGGGCAAGAAAACTAATCGGCCGCTCGTCTGTCTTAGTCCTTCGTCTCTCCAAGCTAAGATCTGCGACCAGGCTGACAGCATGATCGTACAGAGTCTGGCAGCTTAATGGCGTGGAGCCGTGGGTCCGGCCGTCGTAGCCCCACGTCAAGATACGTGAGTTGGTACTGATCCTACAAAGTTCATCGCGAAGCCAGAATACACCATTATCTGCTATCCAAGACCTTTCTCGATGACCGTCAAGTCCATGCACCGCGATCACACTGTAAGCCATGCATAGGGTCAATATTGGTGTATTCATCGTATTCTTTAGGGTTATCATACTCAACGATTGGGTCATGTCCGGAGAAAAGTACCTTTAGACCAAAAGGGGTTTGCTATGGATTGAAGCTGCTCGAGGAGTTGTAACGCGCGACGGCGGGGGTGAGATACGATTAACTGTGTTGCTGTTGGGCTTCATGATCACTAGGCGCACTGGTAACTCGCCTTCCTCCTTGCGATTCCTACCCTTTAATCTAGGGCACAGAAAACACATGTCAAGATATCCACGGGATAAACTATTTGTGATGGAGCTTTGAGAGGTATAGAAAATTAAAAGTGGGGAGAGCCGTACCCAATAATTAGACATACGCTCTCGCCAAGATATTCTTGTCAGCCTCCTTTCACACTCGCCAAGCCCTGTGTCCAGTGATTGGACTTCACCGAGCTCACTATCGGCCAACGCTCACTTTTTAAAATAATTTCAAGTCTTCCTCGACTTCGAGAGGATGCATAGTTAAGAGAAAGATATAGAATCGAATTAGCTTTAAATGTTTTCAATTTTTAAAAATTAAACCCCGAGTGATCTTTCATGTCTCATCAAATTCGTAGAGCGAAACTACCCCAAACAACCAAATAAATCTGCACTATTACTTTCTAGGTCATATTCCTACAAACATCCTATGGAAGTGGAATCATTGGCGATGTCCACTTCGCTTTTGGTGTTTGGTTTAATTTGGCGATTCCGGCCGTGGGGGCGGGGTCTCGGCGGCTTATCGTGCGCTTAATTACTCGCCAAATAACGATAAATGTTCAGATCATTGGCGGACAGGATTTTGACCTTAACTACGCTTTATTAAAGAATGGCTTATCCAATCTTACTGCAAGTACTATCCTTTCGGCGTCCTCCGGTGAGTGTGCGCTCAGAGCCACAGCATGATGGGACATAATTGCGCTACACTCAAAGGGTTAATTATAATCAGGACTGATATAGTACCTATACATTTGGAGTAATATTAGTCACGCATCCCGATAAAGACATTCTTTGAATATTAATATCAAAAGTGCGGCTTCGGCCCAGCTTCCACCACTCGTTCGAATATTCCTCGGGCTGGATAGCTAACCTAAAAAGCAATAGATCTATATGAGGACCGCATTCCAAACCCCTAATTGAAATCATATCAATATTCCTATATATATCCCCACCAACCATCGTTCGTCAGGGAGAGATGGAGTCTGGTTGGGTGGCGGAAGAGTCGAGCTCATAGACAACAAATACCACCACAATTAAGCAATAGCCAATGGGCAACTAGAATGGCTTTTATGTTGGGAGGTAGATGCTAGTGTACCAAAAATTCTGGATATCTCTTCTGCGTAGGCAGGATACTGTTTTTCGACAAATACCATCTCCGGGCTGGGATAGGATATCCTACTGCAGGAGGGCGCGCTATCTTAACTATTGGGTACGACCCATCGATTTGCTGGATATCGTATCCGAAAAGGATGACATATCCTTGGTCTTCACCGAAGTATAGTAAGATATCCTTAGTTAAGGAGAGACATTTCATCAAGTGGGTATGTTCTGATTGGTAGGTTCGAAGGTGATATTACCATTAAAAGCTTAAGCTAAAGAAGAATGGAAGTTAGGGGAAATATTGAGCTTACACCATTGGAATTGGATATAAAAAACGTTGCCAACTATGCTAGTGGTTTAGATTGAAAGTTTCTACACATCGTTAGCATCAACCTCCTGTCTAAAAATTCGACAGCCAAAAAAATCGAATTTGACTCAGTACAAAATTGCTAGGGACGCGAAATACTACCAGCACTGGAACATTTGAAGCCACAACTGATATCCAGTGTCAAGGATATAACCGATATCCTTATCAGAGGACACAAAGTTCTATCCGCGGGAAAAGATATTCTATCCTCAAATACCGTATCATTTGCCAAGATGACTTAAAACATGTATCTTTACCTGAAGATAAACTGAGACATCTATCTCTTGGCGGGGATACTTTATCAAAATCTCCTATATGTACAGCGATTCGCAGGCATTTGGCGAATACACCCATTTGACGAACAGGGGTCACGGCCAATAAGAATCAGGATATCTTAGTCAAACTCGCAGTTTGACTGGTTGCTGGCTGGTTGCTACATACAAATTCGCCAAATCGGTGTATTCGCCAAATGCCTGTGAATCGCTGTACTTGTATCTTTTTAAACTATATATGATCATTATGTGATATACCCATATAGGGAATAATTATCCCAAACCGCCCAAATGTCCCAAACTATCCTCCAAGGGGATAGCACATCCCAATCTTCGGGATACCGTATCCCGATCCCTAAAAACGTTGGTAGGGAGTTATCAAACGGCTTCGCGCACCCCCGGTACAGGGGCCGCGGAGGGTGTGTATAGTAATTAACTCTCGATCCAAGATGATAGGCTGCATGGTTTTCACCAATCAAGTGATAATTGGACTAAAAGTTGAAGTTCCCTGACCGATAGTTCTTCATCTAGTGTAGCTGTGACCGCCAACACCCCAAATAGCGCTCAAGTGCCGGAGTTGTACTCTATGTTACCAGGGTTAGAACATCTTGCAATATTCACGATGGAACCCCCGTACTACCCCGCCTGACTTTCACCCCCGCCCACCACAAACCCGACACCGACCTTCCTAAACACTTCATCCTACACAAAAGCCACTCTGTCATGCCTGGTTAGGTTCCATACGTTTCCTTGTCAGCAAGTCTTTCTTGGGTGGTCTTGGCGGTATGTATATATAGCGAATGACAAATGCGATTGGTATATGCAGATCTAGGTCATATATTAATAAATTAACGACCTCATATCAACATACAGTCATACCGCGCTCTGACGGGACTTAGTATGCTAGATCCCTTGCTATCTCATGCAACATGCTCAGGAAACTTTGTTTTTTTCCTACTGTGCATATAAAAATATCAATCCGCTATCCTGTGCAGGACGCCTGCCGTCCGGCATAGCAAGGCGCGACTATAAGATATTTTCATTGATCCGAGCATTTTGCGAACTTGCACTCAAGTGTGGAAACGAAAACCGCATATCCATAGGAACCTTTTATATATATGATCATATTGCGGAAAATCGATTCGCGGTAAATTGGCTGAATGGAATATACATGCACTTAAATATGCAGTCAACTTAGAGTTCTTCCGCAGCGCCAAGAATACGACAAAACGCACCCCACTTTAGGCCGCGGTGATCACCGCAAGGTGATATCACCGTGTCACCCCCCCCTTGTAGCCAACCACAGCAATGGAGCCCAGTGCTTCTAATGACTGTTCCCGTGAATTTACCACACCTGGCCGTAAATAAGCCTGCATGTCTACTGCTACAGTACAGGCATTTACAGTTGCAACTCGATATGCCGGATTGCCAAGATTCTAAGGATTTCGTACAGGATAGCAAAAAATCCGCGATAGCAAATTGATTGTGCAGTAGGAAAAACAATATTCTCAGAGGATCTCATACGGGACAGCAAGGGATCCGGTGTATTGAGTTCTGACATATCGAGTTGCGACTGTAAATCATTCTGGGGATGGTATTCGACGATTTAGAAGTGATCTTCACGAACCCTGCATTTCCATAGAGCTCTGCTGCACGCTCACCCCTGGCGCCTATTTGCATGAACTATAGAGTATCTGTACAGCACAGCAAGTGGTAAGATTGTATAGAGATATATGTGAGAGGAGTTCTATTGGCCTAACCCTGTTTTCAGCTGACCATTGTTTCTTACAGCGAAACAATTAAAGGGTGGGAAGTTGTGCAACCGAATCCCCGCACAGAATTCCGACCTTTGAAGTTTTAACTCATTAGTCAAGTCAATAGGGCTCCTCCATATTTCTACATGCTGTGCCTGCAATGCTAATTAACTGAGTTGATCCCTCCACTAGCTGGCCAGTAGAACTCGAGAATCTCTGCCAAGTCGCTAAGCTCGATTTGAGGATGTCTCGGGATACGAGGCACTAGGCAATTAAGCAGTAACATGGATTCAAATTCCAGGGGTCGTAACCATTCAGCACAGATTCTGCGACCACAGGGGTATGTGGGAATAATTTTACGAAAACCGTTAAAAGCTTGTGTGACATTATCCAAGGAACAGCTAGGTAACGGCCTGTATGTCTACAGTAATATATATATATTCCTATTCGTTGGCTCCTGATTGCCCAGTACAGTGTTATACATAGCCGGTTATATCGATGAATGAAGTGTGTTCGCCCGGTAGTTACGTTGTACGGGAGGGGGGGGCGCAGACTTCGTGTGCCCTATTGATAAACGTACCGGTACTTGGTAACGAATCTCGCGTAGTACAGCAAGTACATGATATTATTACCCTAGATTATATTAAAGAATGCTGTGCTGGCGAAACCATGAGCGTCGCTATAAACCTCAAGAGAGGTATCCCGGCCTGGATGTATGAGACAATATTGGGAAAATCTCTCTCATGCATGAGCTTCATGTGACCTTGAATACGTAAGTAGCTTGCTACCTTTGCCGGTCTTTGGAATAGTTAATAGTGCTATAAAGTTCGCAGTTCGCTGCCTTACCTCAGTCAATCATTTCCTGGATGGGCCACACTAATGCATTAGAGAGATGTTCCCACTGTCGACGTCTCATACATCCAGGGAATACCTCTCTAGAGATTTATAGTTTATGTGCTTATAACATTCTAGGATATTCCGAGTAGTAATGTTGTAGTGACATCATGATAGCTACATGTACTCTTGATAGGTTCTCCTTATAATAAGAAGACCTTCACTCGAGAATGGATGCAGCCAGTAGTAGGCCTTGCAGCCTGACAATTAATTCTGTGACTTTTGATCTTGGCGTACGTACAATAATAGCACTCGTGAAATGGAATCATTACTGTCGTTCACCGTCGCTTGATGAACACTGCTGGTTGAAGAACAGGGGACTTTGGGCTAATAGAAATTAAAATGAATGGAGATCTCGTAGCTTGGCTGTTGCTTGACTGTTTCTTGCCATAGTTGGAATCCTTGTTCGTCAAGTGGCAGTATTCGTCAAGAGACGGTGAACGACTGTAGTTTGATTCTGGGGTTGCAATTGTAAATGGCAGTTGCTGCCGTGCCGGGGATTCTTTACTCGAATACGTAGTGGCTGGACACTATTTCGTACCAAATCTGCATATCATAAATTTCAGTATTGCACTGTCATTGGGGCAGTCATCTAGTGTCGATCCTCGTATTAATATTATTACATACCAGCTCCACAGCTGCAGGTGCACATCATTATGAGAGTATATACAGGCTAACTACTATATATAGATACCGAATACAACACGATCATCAATCCCGCCTTCACTCGCGCCCCACCCGCCCGGAAGAAGTATAAAAGCTGTGCCTAATCGCTTGTGTGAAGCCTTCTGTCTCCCAACACCATCCTCGAAGATCGCAAAGAACCATAATCGTTTCCCATAAGACACCTTTTGAAAATCATTCTTACCTACCTCGACCATAGTCCCATTTATCTCTCGTTCACGTACCAATGCTTGTTCTCAACCCTCATCTCCTCCTCCTTCCCTTCCTCTTTCTCTTGGGCTTTGCCAATGCCGACTGGAAACTCTCCATCAGCTACGCGAACGGCAAACAAATCACTGCGCATGGCTTCCGCAACTCTGGTTGCGAAGTGCTCGCAATTTCCAACTCCCCCGTTGCCACCTTCTATCTTGAAGGAAATATAAACGTCGATACTGTCGCATTCTACACCGACACAATGTGTACAGCGGGAGAGTACAAGAGGGGAACCGGATCAACCAACGTAAGCCCCGATAAGTACTTCAAGGCCTATAAGACATGGTAGAGGGAAGCGAAAGGAAGACTTTTTCAGTCAACCTCGACAGACGGAGAGAGGAACTGAATGGGGATAGAGAACTGTTGATGTAGGGGAAGTATGGGGTGGGTCCGGATGTTGCGGGAGGATGAGTTAATGTTCACTCGTTTTTATCGTTCAATATGTATATCTGATCGTATATTCATGAGGGAGAATACAACTGTTATTCAAGTTCAATTTACAATGGATGTTGTTCAGTTATGTAGGTAACATGGTCTACTCTCATGGAAATCAATCACTCTATTATGATTGCTATCATTTGAGACCTATTTTACTCGGAATATAAATGGAGCCATTAGTGAATGTATACTATAGGATAGATTGTCTAATGTCTCACATAATCATGCGAAAGAACGAGATCACGTTTAATGGTTAATTGGTGATCGTGCGAGATCGTTATCCCGATGAGGAAACTTTCCGAGGGTGGGCAAGGTCGCAGGTTCGAATCCTGTAGGGGCGGTGACCCAGGGGATATTAATCGTGGTTTCCTTTCCTGGCTTGGCATGTGGGATGGTTTATGCTCCTGGGGAGAGTTTTCCATGCACCCGGCGCCCAAATGGGACATGCGGACTGGTGATGGAGTGTGGCTAGGTATGAGTGCTGGCCTTGAGCCGGTTGGGGTATTCCACATCCTGCTGAACGAAGCGACTAGTAGGCATAAGGTCACAAGAACTGTAAAAAATGACAAGATGCGGGCAACAGCTCTAACGCTAAGCGGGGGATAGAATTCTGGATTATTTTGAGCAGAAGCTTAAAATGTACTGATTCTCTCCACATCATTCCCCCCTTTATCGAGAAATCAAGCGGTGGCTTCATCATGTGCCATCACTCGACCTGGCCACACAAATAGTCAGGGCTAGGGTTGTTTACTGGTTCATCTTACGCTTACAGGGTTAGGGTTATCCAGCATACACAGTGTTAAACAGCATCCCCAGAGCTGTGTCCGATCCGTATTTGACCCAGACCCGACTCTTGTGATTGAGTAATTGATTTCTTGCTCAGTATTTTCAGCCGAAACCATAAGAGGCTCCCTTACCTACTCTGCAGAGTTCCGTATCTTACAATGCAAGCTATGCTTACCTCTACCAGTGGTATGTTCATTCAAGAGGGAGTACATAGTATTATTAACACGATATCTCTTCCACAAGAGGTGAAAAGAGCTTAAATACAGTAGGCCTTTTCGTCTCCAGAGTCTAGAAGTAAAATCATATCTCCGGTGGGTATCAAGGGGGTGATCATCATCAATCGCAGTGATTTAGTAAAGATAAAGCCATGAGGGAATGCATGTTGTATGATCTCTAGCTCTATGAACGCGGGAATATTTCTGGGATTATATTTATTATTCCAGTGCTGGCGGGGCGTAACCCTCTTTGAAGGGCGTATTATCTGTATAATAACATTGAAAATCGAGACACAAAGGGAAAGTATAGTATGAAGATAACAAAAGGAATGAATCATATAGAATGGTATACTCCCGAAATGAGGACTTCGGAGATTTTTCGACTATTCGCGTGGCGTCCTAAAAGAGGACTAGCAACCTTCAGTGACCTACTTCGCCAGTCCGGTCAATCTGAGCTACGGTTATCGCCCCTCTCCCCCTGGAAAAATTAGTTAGCTCTGTACAGTAGCTGGAAACTTGGTAGGGGTCGCACCATGCGATAATACAACTATTCTCCCCATCTGGTCCTGATGATGTCTTTTGTGCATTCTTCGATACGCTGAGTAATGCGGGATAAGGAATCCTTGATTGCCGGACTGTGTAATTTCATGATCGCTGACAAAACTCGGGAGATATCCCTTTGCACATGCTTGACCTGGGTCGCATCAACGCAATCAGAAAGCTTGTCCTGGAGGGCCGTTCGCGTAGTATTCTCCAGAGTATCCAGCAAACCGCGATGTTCAAGATCTTTGAGGATAGGAACAGTTATTTCTAGGCATTTTTTCTGTGCGATTTGGCAGTTCCGTCTACTCCGACCCACTCTCTCTGTGGCGAGCAAGAATTCAATGCTGAATGCGCATATTCTGCTCAGCTCCTTATCATCACACTGTGATAGCTGAAGCTCGGAGATCTGCTCTTTGAAGAGATTGACAAGCCAGACATCGCTTTCCTTGGAATCAAAGACCTTTTGAACTGCTTCGCTGCAAACATTTGAAAGACGGTTGGCGAACTGTTTTTTACCCGTTGAAACGGCGGCGAGGAGTTCCTCCATGGCAGCTCTACCATAAGTCAGGACTATACCGGTATTTCTTTCACTAGCAGCGATGACCCATTTCTCAGCGAATCCTTTAATGATCCCGATAAACTTCGCTTCGTGCTGCTCGCCCATGAGAGCTTCAATAATACCGACCCACTGCCTAGCAATCATCTCAATTACGTCTCTTCTCCCTGCCCTAACAACCGTGAAGAGGAGTTCCATGCCGCCGATGTTGATGTTCTTGGCTTTTTCATCCTCCCCGGCCTCTAGGTAGGTACGGAAGGCATTTGAGCAGTCAAATAGCAATGTCTCAACCAGGGAGGTCCTGCCTTGGTCAAGAGCGTAGTACAAAGCATCCCTGTACTGCCGTGTGATAATATCTATACCGGCGGAGAACTCGTTTGCAACAACATCTTCCAATATCATGAGTGCCGTTTTCACGATCAGGAGAAGCAAGGCATCGGCTCCTTGCAGTTTGAGCGCAACCTTGAATGTTCTGAGGCCAATCTGGAGAAGTACACGGAGTGTTCTTTCGTTTCCCGAGGCGATAGCAACAAAGAATTCCTTGGCGACCTTTTCCACTCTCTTCTCAACAACCTCCATCTTTCCCTTCTGAAACTCACCGCCTATTTGGGCGATTGCAGAAACCGTAGCTTGATCCAATATTGAGGGCTTGCGTAGGGTGGTGTTGTCGGTTGGGCGGGCGCCCTTAGCCTTGAGAAGCTTAATCATATCGGTGTGGCCAGAGTACATGGCAGCGCCCAAGGGGCTTCCATGATCTCCTCCAGCAGCATTGACCTTTGCACCGTATTCGATAAGGGTAGTCGCAATCTGCATCCAGTTTCTATAGGCTGCCGCCTGAAGAGGACTCCCGTGACAGCCCCCGGTAGAGTTGACATCCGCCCCATGTTCCAAGAGAAACGCAACAATGGTGGGGTTTCCCTCGAATGCAGCTGTCTGTAGGGGGGTGCCATGTTTGCCATGGTTCTCATTCACCTTGGCCCCCTGTTTCACAAGCCAGTGGACTATCTCGATGTGATCTCCATATGCAGCGGCGTGAAGGGCAGAGCCAAAATCACCAACCTTGATATTGATATCAACACCAAGACTAAAGATCAACTTAACAAGCTCCAAGTGACCGCCTGAGGATGCCAGCTCGAGTAACTGGATATGTTCCTTCTGTCCTTTGGAATTCTTCAACAACATCTCAACGATTCCCATGTGCCCGTAATCAACGGCTAATGCCAGCGGTGAGCTTTTGGAGACTTCGGGGGTGCAGAGATTTTCCTGCAGATCGGAATGCTTCTGTAGAAAGCTGGCCACTATCCTCTCATGCCCATTTGCTGCGGCCCAGTGTAAGGGTGTTCTACCAACACTATCGGGGTAGATCTCTGAGGCCCATTTGACACTTGCCCTGCGCTCACCCGTTGCGAGCTCTATCAGGTTCTCCAGGCCCATATAGTAGAGCATATGCATTGGTGTCGTCTTCCGTGGGAATGTTCCCTTTCCTCTGGTACGCCAATATATCCGGAAAGAAGTCTCCATACTACCGCCTGGGCTTTCATGCCAGCGAAGGAATAAGCTCCAAATCTGTGGATGGTCGCGGACCAGTTTTGCATGATCTGACCAGTGGGTAGCAGAGTATTTGATAAAGGGGTGTGCTCCCATTGTTTAAAGGACTTCCTCCTCCACCAGCGTGCTGTTTGGATTTGTCGAGTGATCTTTGGCAAAGTCAGTGAAGGTAAGATAAGTGAGACACGTCAGGGAAATGTCAAGATGTGCGCGGTGATGATCATCGGTGAAGCAGTACTCCCCAGAGCCTCCGTCCAGGAAATACTCTTTGATAGACGAGTGCACCACCTTGATAGTCTGGTCGGCGCCCACGATCTGCACAAAGGGATAGCACCTTGTCTTGACCTCATCAGCAAGAGCAAAGCACATGCGCTCTTCTATCGATTTGAGGTCTTTATCTCCGACCCGAACAGCACAAGCGGCACCTAGCTGGCGCAATGTGAGAGGTGTGTGTGCGAAGATGATAAACTGGAATAGCCGCTTCGTGTCTTCCCGTTGAGTCCCGGGAACCCGATCCAGGACTGCGGTGTAGAATCCATACAGAGGCGACTGTGGTCGAGAAGATTTTATCTCTGCCTCTCGTGATATGGCAGTGGTCCGGTTGCAGAGATCTCCAAGCATAGCAAGGCCCTTGTTAACTATCTCGAGTGTCCATCCACTGACCGCCTGGCCGCAGAACATCTCCCACGCCATTGAGGCCCATAGAAACACACCAGCGGCGTGCTGCGCTATGGTATTTTTCACTTTCTGCCTCAGCTCGTTGCCCAATGCTCTCAGACCTGGAGTTGCCTCAATCTTCTGCAAAAGGAATTTGTCAATGTCCAGTTTGACCTGGCTCTCCACCAGCGACATCTTGACGATAAGCTTCCCGTATGATGGGTTCTGAAATGCCCGGTCGAGCTCCGTTCCTGGGTGGATTCTGGTGGTCACCAAAACCTTCACACAGCTCGAGCTCAGCTTGGCTGCTTGAAAAATCCTGGTAAGCAGTTCTCCTTTCGCGCCAGAACATTCGTCCAATGCATCAAGGATAATGTAGACTTTCGGTATCCGAGAGAAGAGCTCTCGCATGATGTCCATCGTCTTCCCAAGAGCAATCAAAAAGGAATCGGTTGCACTACTTGTGGCATGTTTGATCCTCTTTCCGTAAGCTACTCGGTAGTGCAAGATCTGACGCATAAGACAGGAGAGAAGGTTCAGAGGATCCGATTTTGCGGTTTCTTTGCTATCAGAGAAAAAGTAAAGAATCAAAGGCCGAACACGGTGCGCAACGATAGAATTGGACTCCTCTGTCAATTCGTTGATCACAGACGCAGCCGTCACTGTTTTACCGCTCCCAACTATACCAGTGAGCCAAAGAACCCGCGATCCCGGGGAATTTTTCCAATTCCGAAACGCCTCGTTTTCGAAGATCCATCTAGCAGTATTATGTGACCTCTTTGCCAATATATCTTCCAGGTGGGCCTCGTAATTGACCCTGTGCAGTGTCCGGCGCAGCTCCTGATATTCTGGAGAAATATCTACAGGAAATCCAGTTTAATACAGGAACTGAACATAAAGCATTGGTATTCATGGGTACTAACTATCTGCCTGTCTCTCCACCGCCCCTTCTGCCATTTCACGGATATAATCGAATAGTTGTTTGAAAGAATCCGAGTCTGCTGAGGGGAATTTGCATAACCCTCTGTGATCTGTGTTCATTCCTACCTGATTTTCAATTTCCCCGCTGAGGTTCAGGACAGCTGAGCTCTTAGGTACGACCTAAATATCCACAATGCTTACATTAGTTCATTTCTTCGAACGGGGGGGGGCAATGGGGGTTCGGTGGCAATGGAATGGAAACCAACCGGCTCGCCCAATCCGGACGTAGTCTGTGTTTCAAAGATGGAAACTATTTTTTCAAGTTTTCGGTTGTCTCCCGAAGAATGGTGTCGGAAATCATTCGAGATGGTTTCGAGTGTCTCCGAATCGACTGTTAGGGCCCTGAGAAGCCCAGAAGCTCTTGACCACTTTGAGAGTTGTGCAATCCTGATCACTGTACTAGCTAAATTTGCTGTGGCACTTCCTTGGTGTGGTGTACCAAGAAAGATAATACCAAAAATTGATTTAAACAATGCCGCATGTGTGATATTGTGAACGGCGTTCAACATGGCCTGAAGCAGCACGAGTTGTCAGCTAGCTTTCTCACGGGTTATATATACATAGACTTATGTATCGGCAGACCTTTTTAACTATGATACCCCCTAAACTGTGGCATATGAAGATTATGGGGCGCCTAGCTTCGTGCTTCAATCAAAGTAAGCACCATGCGCACTATCCCCGTCATCTCATACCTCTGTTCAACAAAGATAACGTAATCGTGGAGGGAACATACCTCCTGGTCTTTTCTTTTTCTTCCCAGCGCGTCTAGTAAATTGTCTGCAATAGTGTTAATCCTAGCAGTAGATCGTGTGAACACCACGGAAGCATCGTAGCCAAATGTGAACACCCTTGCGGTCCCTCCTAGACAAGTTTCCTTCCCAAGTTCTTCCAGCCAAAAAAACTTCGACTTATTATGCTGCCATGTTTTCCTGCGGTGTCCACCTAGTCCATGAACTGCCACGATACTGTGTGTGGGGTTAGTCGGATCCAATTTAATGACTACATATTTGCATGTTTTTGTTAGGGGAGCAAATCTTCAACGTCAATACACCGCTTGGACTCCAGGCTGTTATCTACTGTTGGGTTTATAGCTTCGAGGCCAAATTTCGACTCTGGCTCTGCCTGTTTACATATCAGGAACATTAACCCACAGCAATCGGAGGAAATCTAGATTCGCATGGGTATAATACATCATCTCGAAAGCAGGCAAATAAAGGATTATGGGTAACCATAGTCGAGGTATTTTGTAGTGAAATAAGCGTAAATGTAGGGGTGTAAAGGTTTTTGTAAGTTGAGAGACTCAAGGGATCTTGTGGGGAGGTCTTGTGGGATATACAGTATATTAATGAAGGCGGAGACCACGCTTTATTAAATAGAACTCCTTCAGGTAGGAATTGAGTATGCGAATAGCACAGCAGCCTTGTCTAACATGAGATAAATGGGGCCATCCATTCGAACACCAGACGTACCTGGGATAAGACGAAGGGCTCAACTTGCATATATCCGTAGAGGTAGGAAGCGTTGGCCTGGTACGTCGAATTCCGCATTCGCTCCGCATTCCGTGGACGTATGGTATCGCAAAAACTCGCCACTGAACCAAGATTGACGTTTAATTTTTACGACATATGAACCGGAACCACCGATACGGCTATCATTAGGACCTCCACTACCTCATTCCCTGCGCGCTACCCAATGATGTAAGAGTATACGCAGAATCTTTTATTGGAATCATTGATATATCTATCTTTGTTTGGTAGACTGAAACTGGTATCCTGTTCGGAAGTGCGCAATTAAAGGCCACGCCTCGTTCTGAGCGGATTACGCACAGGGAAGTCCTAAGGCGGTGGGATAGTACTGGGCGGTACGTATAGGAGGTAAAGACCTTGAATCTCCGTGGAGATGGTATTGCAATTGAACGAACAGGTTCAGGCGCTGTGTGACCATAGTTATTTGAATCGGAAGCCCCCACTAACCAGTTACCAAACAAAGCGCTGTATTCATATTTTGGTGGTGACGGGGAGCTGCCCCGTTTTAGATGGCGCAGGATATTGACACCTTGAGGATCGGGCCGATCAATGAGTCGTAGATCCAGATACAAAGTCTGATATTCGATCCCTATGGGAGGAAAATGACGAACCCAGAAGGCTGAGAATTTATTAACGGCCCGGGCTGTCAACCTTGCGAATCCCCGTCGGAAAAGCTAATACAGCTGACAGCGGCGCCCCGGGACATCGTTTTAACAGTGCCGCCCTCCCATGCGCGCTTCGCCGAGCATGCATAGCCAGTTGTACTCGAAAAACTAATTCAGAGATCTCCGGAAACACATGACATGGCCGCTGTACGTCTATTACTATTTTATTAACAGCCTTGTACTCACTCCAATCAGCACTCGAAGGGTATATCGGAAATTTGGTACATACTTTATATATTACGTTCAGGTTATCCAGCCATGCGATAGGAACGCAAGATTGATCTATACTCAAATGTCAGACGCAAAGAGCATGTGTGTACAGGTGTGCCTGAAGTTTCATGGGTATAGAGTACTTACATGTATGTAGACAACTTGCCTATATATTGTACCTTATATACTGCAGACCATACGTATCCCAGCTCAATCGATGCACGCATGTAGTCGCGGGCATGCACAGTTTGTGCGCCTCGGGCTGAAATTAAGTAAACCCGGTGTTTGGCACCGATATGTTGTTGTTAGCAGTGTAAGTACTCTGGCTCGAGGAATCGATTGTTGCTATAGAAATAGATTCTTAATGATAGGACACGTGTGCGCCGACTGTTCCATTGCATTGGTGGGCTCGAATCAAAACGATTATGTACCTGTCCAGACTGCTGGGACTTTCGGAATTTATTCTCTCGGGCTTCTATGCAGGCATTATTATATATTAGCAGGGATGATAGGTAGCTTTTAAAAAGAGAAGGAATTACCATCACATGGATAACCGCCTGCAATTAAAATCGAGCTAAAACCGCCAGCCAGCCTGCGATGTGATATTGCACAGACCAATTCAGAACAGCAGCTGCAGAAGGCTTGGCCAGGGTTCGTCCGAGCTTACCCGGGCCGTCAGGTGGGAGGTAACTCATGGAATCCTTTTGGAAGCTTATTTCTACTTCTAACTCCTTCTACCTGTGGAAGAGCCCTGTCCGAGCATGTGCCTTGAGAGCGCTTGCAGTCGTTTCATCATCTCCCTACTTGCCTTCGCTTTGGCGGCAGGAACGCCGATGTGACAGACAGAAACCGCCACTTATTTAGATGGCCTTATCAAAACGACGCATGCATATATAAGAGAATTGAGCTGACCGGTCAATCCAGTGTCTGGTTTCCATAGGCAATGTTAGGAACTAATAAAGCCAATCAGCATGAGCTAGAGGCTTACCCAATTCTCAATGGCGGTATGGCGATCTACGCTCCAGCTCCACCATATTTATGTTTACCATGGGTTTATTCTAATACGAGATGGGAGAAATGGGCTGCTGGTGTCGTCGAGTGGTAGCCGGCGGGACGACAGATGAGTGTTAGTACACCTAGAAACACGCTGGAGTGTAATAAACTTGCTACTTTATTGATTGCATATGTACCACGATGATGATTATGGTAAGAGGGAAAGCCTCATGCTCGCCTCTTAATCCACTCCTAAATACAGGCCACCACAACATCATGTGACCGCGTGTCCTCTTGGCTTAATACCACATGCTTATGTACTAAGTCCTCGTTATACCGACCACCGTTCTCAGGCCGTTTTCTCCAGCATAAACTACATGACATATCTACCCCTACACCCGCAGCTAGCCTAACTTTCGCTAATATTTGAACCTGAGGCTCCCCAAAAAGACAGCTTATGAACCGTATTCCCCACTATGTCATGACATATCACAGTTAAAGACCTTAATGGCTTGTCCGTCAACACCAAGCGTCCGCCAATACTCGGGTGTAGCAGTAAGAACCAGAACATGCAAGTGAAGAGACAGGGATTATTTGTATGGAGTGGCGCCGCTCTGCCATACAAATAACCTCATTGCATGTTCTGGTTCTAACCCGAGTACCCGAGTACCCCCGTGAACGACAGTACCCAATAGTAAATAATCGGAATCAACAGGATCAGCAGGATCAGCAGGATCAACCTACCAAACAAAGAGCCACCCGCATAATCTCAGACGCCAACCACTGCGCTACATACCCCGAGTAAGAATCGAGTGCGCACGTGCGCGATAGTCTTGGCACCCCGGCACCACCAGCAGTTGCGTTATGGGATGCAGCTAGAAAGATCTTGCCTACTTTTGCGTTCCTGCGCTGAGCTGCTTCAGCATAAGAACCAGGGAATGCGAATTTACAAAGTCAAGGCCGGATTAATTATATGACAACCCTTTTGGGGCTATCGCTTGAGCGCGTGAGGAAACTTCAGGGTAAGCTGTTCGCTGCGTTTTCCAGTACGTACTAGCTTGTAGTACGCCTATATATATATTGCCAAAGACTTTGCAGGTCGCTGCCTTATTTCAGTCACTCATTTCGACCTGAATAGATCACGCTAATCCGTGAGAGAGATTTCGCAAGATGTCTCACGCGCCCAAGGGATACACACATGTACGTACCTTGGGACTTCATATGAAGTGGCTCGATAATATCTAGATTCTTGATAGTTATCTTGATTGATGATTGTCTAATATAAGAGGAGAGAAGACTCTCGTCCTCTTAACTACGTTACTACTGATGACATGTTGGCAAGACTCCTTGTGTCCTTTCCTCGTAATCACTCTCGGCGTTGCTAACACTCGCCGCTTACTCATCACTACTCGCACTCCTTCCTATCATCATGCACGGCTCCTGCATCATATCCCCTGATATGTGTATATATGGACTCATATTACTTGACAAAGCTTTCAGGTGTATATATGTTTATGGATCAACACTCCGCTGTTTTCATTCACCAAGCCAGGAGGTCAACATACACGTTCCTCATGATCGAGTGATATCCCGTGAAGCAGCCCACTCGCCGCACCAATCCCGGGAAATAAATTTACTTCCGATACATGTAGCTATAGATACTAAGCTATGAGCAGTGAGTAGATTATGACGTGAACTAGAAATTATCCGCCTCTCTTTAATCTGCCTACCTATTAACCTCCTGCTTGAAATGTCATTCGCAGAACTAGCTAGTTTCATACCCTTGTAATCACACTGTCACGCCACGTTCTCTTTCTTATGTAATACTAGTAGCCTTGGCATCACGCATATATGGTGCGCACACTCTTAAAGGTGACATGGCGGCATATGGATGTGGAACAATTGTGGCTGCAATATGGATTCATGAGCCAACCAGAGGGTTCATTTCTAGCCATTTTGCTGCATCACTGCCACAACTCGATCGGGTTTGCTTTTTACGGGGTACAAATGGGTATAATACGGTTCGACTTTGTTCAGTCTTGGCGCTTTTTACATACAAAAACAGCCAATTGTAAGCTCTAATAACTTCATGACCATGATAGATATCAAAAATCTGTAATGATAGAACCGAACTTCTTCATCACTCCTACTATACTTCTATCATGCCCCTTTTTTTGATATCTTTTTTGGTGGTGAAGTTATAAGCGATTGACTTTCCGTCACTTATGGTTACCTTTAAGAGTGGGCGCACCACATATAGGCGTGATACCCGTTCATATCTGCATCATCAATATACACATCAATACTCGTTTATAGGTTAACTCAGCTATGGAATAAAACAGTTCATCTCAGGCAAATGGCCCATTAACTCCGGGGCCCATTCGGACTGCATGAATTTAAGGGAATATTGGCGAGGCATCAATCCTTGGAGGACATGTATGGGGAGCAATGTTCCAAACGGGTGGCGCCATGACAATCTTGAGGTTGAAGATGGGTACTGTGAAAGTCTCGTCGAGTGTTTTATCCGTTGAAGTGATTCTCGTTCAAGTCGCGACAAATAATTATACAAGTTGGGCTAGTATATGGTGCTGTTTCACGGTTAGCCATTCTATGGGAATCCATACCCAGGGTTAGTGTTCTTCTAACCACACCATATATATCAACGAGCAACGAATCTACAAACTATTCCATCCCTTACACTTCGTGCAAGAACGACTAGACATCAGATATCTGGAAGAATTGCCTTCAGGGTAAAATATTCGGTGACGCCTTCTCTGCCATAGTGGCCACAGCGCTGCTGGCTCACGCTGTCCACAGGCCCTCTGCTTTTTCCATCTCATCTCCTACCCCCATCTCTATCTCAACTTGCATCCCACTTCTTTCCCCCACCAGGTACACCCCTCACCCTGCTCTTCTGACCCCACACCCCACCCTCGTACACCACGCTGATAGCAAACCCCACGAGGAGTAACAGCCGCACCTCAACCTTCAACCTTCAACCTCCACCTTACCCAACGACTTGACGTGCATCCTCCCCCACCCCCCCCTCCGGACCACAAATCCCCCACACTCACCATGGCGCAACACACCTTCCCCCAACCAAGCACCGCCGGTCACGCCACATTCGGCAGCCCATCCTGGACCTACTCCGGCCCAATTGCAAGCACTAGTGCAGGCCAACCAACAAGTACAATTAAGCATGATCAAGACGGTAAGAAACGCACCTCGAAGCAATACGGAGAAAGTCGGCATGAAGAGGGGAATACTAACCAATGGTCGCGGCGCAGGAGGAACCGGAAAGGAGAAAGGACCGGTCCGAGAAAGCGATGACTTGGCTCAGTACATGGAGCGCAGTCTCGCAATCGCCTTGCCATACAGGGACCAAGAAGCATCTAGCCCACCCGCGAAGGCTGCCAACGACAGGAAACGTAATTGATCTTCCCGGACCAACGCAAATGCGGCCAGTCGAGAGAGAGTGACAGTATACTAACCACCGCCCCTATCGACAGCCATCCGCAACATACCGGACAACAGCGGCGACCCGGAAGTGCACGCCACCCCAGAGCGGCGCCGCTACGCCCGGCAGAAGGGTATGAGAAAGCTAGCAAACATGTTCCGCCACACCCTCCTCACCCCCAGCGAAGGCCCTTCCGCAGAGCCCCCCGCCGATGTCCAAGCCACACCAGACCCCCGCGCCAAACGGCCCCGTCGCAAGCGCGCAAAATACAGCTACACCATGTCGCTCAACCTCACCCCGCTGACCAACGACCAAGGCTCCACGGGCCAGTACTTTGCCGTGCTCCTGGGCCAGGAGACCAGCTACCAGCAGCTGCTCGACCGTGCCCGCGACGCGCTTGCCGCGGAGGGGATCGACAGTGGGGGGGGGATCAATATGGCGTTTGCTATACCGACGGTGTGGGAGAGGGAGAATGAGCACCGTGAGGCGCCGCGCTACTATGCGTTCGGCTCGACGAAGGAGATGCGGCTGATGCGCAACGAGTGTAAGAAGTATCATGGGGCTACGCGGCTGGAGGTGCATGTGTCGGTGGAGAGGTTTCCGGCTGCAAAGCTGAGGAGGTCGCGCAAGGGTCGCGGTGGGAAGAAGAAGGGGGCGGTGGAGGCCGAGGGTGGTGGGGAGGTTGAGATGAAGGAGTGAGCGGTGGTGGAGACAGTGGTGCAGCGAGAGCCGTTGATCAAGGGGGAAACCGCCCAGATCATCCTGCTCTTCTTTCTCTCACTGGATGCAAGTCTTCTTCTAAATACGCCTATTTCCAAAGGCCTCTTTGTCTTGGCACCGGTTCATCTTTGTGTCCACTCCTCTCATGGTGATCTGGCTCTAATTTAGATGGTGTCCTCTTCTTTCCTGCTCCAAACACCTTTTCGTTTATATTACCTGCTCTGAAGCGCCCTTCTTGTCCATACTTGTGTATATCCGATGCAGCCCAACACCGTGTTTTGAACTGTGTACATGTGGTTCTGCCATAGCGGACAATGTTTAATTGCCAGTTCTTTCATTACAAACATTTCCACTCTGGCAGCGCCTCCCGTTTGATTCTCCCCGCCGGTGCAGAACTACATGTAGATACGCGTACGTCTACTGACATTCGGTTGACAGGGGGTGGAATAACTAACCACCCCTGCGCTAATCCCAGGAGCCACAAGCGCACAGAGCGTCCGAGTGATTCAACGTGACGCCGAGTGACCATACATGACCCGAGTGACCCTCCATGAAGACAAGCATTGAGGGGAAGAGAAAACGTTTACGATACCATGTAAAGCCGGGGGGGTCGGTTTAAAATACCATGACCCGCTAAAAATTACCATGGCAACGAAACTTTGCAGTTGAAGTAATGATGAAATTGCTGGAAAGTAATAAGATACAAGAATAACTGTCCGCTAATTTACTTAAAAGTGCGGATCCTACAACTCCTGGCATTATGCCCACTCTCCCCACAGCTAGAGCACTGCTGTTGAGTTTGCCCAGTAGCCCGGCTCCTCTGGCCAACAACTCCTCTGGCCTTCTTTCTCTTTCCTATAGTGGCCCGTCCAGTTGGGGCTATAACAGTCATTCCGGCAGCCAGTACAGGCTCCCGCTCTTCCATAGCTGGTGCACCGCCGATACCAACGCCGAGTGGAGCGCTGAGTGCAGCGCCGAGATTTTCCGGTTGGTTATTCAACCCTTGGGCTTGAGTTTCCGCTGTGGTTGTTAGGAAAGTGATGGGGCGAAGATTTTCTGAATAGATTCTTTTCCAATTGTCGACAAGAAATGCTACTGAGATGTATGCATCTAGACGGTGTCCAAGAGTGTAGATAAATGCAATTGCGTGTTGACAAGGAATATCATGGTTCTGAAATTCTCGGCATGAACAGGTGCAGGTACCCAAGTTAACAGCCCATACCAGATTCTCCGGTCCAGGTTTCATGATAAGAGCATTCTGATCGCCACCCCTACGGACTAAAAACTGCCTTGCAGTTTGACGTTCCTGCATAAGAATCTTTTCACAGTATGGGGTAAAGATTTGTCCAGCTGCGACTTTTCTTGATGCTTCGAGTTTGGCAAACCTTGACTCCATCAAGTGGTGCCAAATTTCTTGAAGAAGCTCGAGTACTGGTAGTTCTCTTGCTTTTCTAAAGACGGAATTCATTACTTCAACCGCATTTGATGTTTTCTGACCAAATTTTCTCGCTGCTCCACCAGGTATGAATGCGGTAACCCAAATTTTTCTGTCGATACTTAGTAAATACTGTGCAGCAGACCCTTGCTCTTGTTGTATATGGTTTATTGCTGTGAAATAGTCTGCTTCTGATACTGCATTTACGGTTTTCCAGAAATACATTTCATTTGTTTGCCCGTGTCGACGTAGAAAGTTCTGCCGGAGGTGTTCAAGACAATACAGTCTAACTATTCCTTCCCCGAGAACATTCATCCCTAAAAGCAATCCTTTGTCACGATCGCTCATTATTGTTGCAGTACAGACCTCGGGAATTGCATTTCATGGATCGACTAGTAGAGGTACGGGGTTGTGAAGAGTCGGATTAGTCAGAAAGGTTCTATTGGGTTCTACCGGGTTCTGTTGATCGTTAAGGTATCAGTCATGTTGGATTTGTCATCGCTGGGATTCCTTTGAGTATATTAAGGGGGGTTTTGTTTGTATTTCTCGTTCTTCGTCTTCTTCTTTTCCTTACGCAACGTCTTCTGTATCTACGCTGTCTATTGCTATACAATATTATCGTCCTCTTCTTTCTTTAAGAAGACCACCGCCTCGCTTTCTCCTCGTCTCATCGAACCTTCCAACGCTAGAGCCCCGTAGTACCCCTATTGCGGGCTTCCATACCGTCCCCTACTACACTCTTCGTACCCTGCGGAATACTCGCTACTCACCCCCTTGAGATTGCAGCTCTTAGGTGGTGAAAGAAATATGACCATGATTCAACATTCTCGCTCTCCACGATTGCCCAAGCGAGTAGAAGATAATGATTATTTGCGTCCACGGTTACCGCTAACAGGAGAGTCTGCTGGTAATGTGATTTAAGAAATGTTCCATCAACTGCAAGAAAAGGACGGCAATGAAAGAAAGAGGCCCGTGACTGAGATGGACAAATAAAAACCCGGCGGAAATATACTGTAGTATTTTCAATTTGATTTGGAAGTACTTGCAAATTGCTATACAACTGCAAGTTTTCTTTCTGTACGGCGACAAGGTATTCGGGGATACGCTCAAACTGTTTTGCCTGTTGTTTTGCTTGAATCTGGAGGAGTCTTGTTCGAGTCTCATTTGCAGCCTGATAGGTTATCTGTTCATTATGATGTAATTGAACAGAATTGATGATATCCTGTGCAGTCGTATCACGAGTGATAATGAGAATAGTCGGTACTACTCGCATCAACCAGGACTGTGAATTTGCAGTGGGCCGTGATGGTAGAGCGGCCCCCAGACAAGAATGCTGAATATTCACAATTCGTACTTGCACATCAGTATCATCCTTCTTTGTTGCAAAAACCCGCCAACTGCATCCCTCCTTGAAGGAATGACAGCAGAAATCCACCCGCTGGCGGTCTCTGAGCCGTGTTCTATAGGTAAATTTATCCCTGATGGACCAGTCTTGCACAGCTGTCTTAAGTGCATCAAAGGATTCAAAAAACTGGCCAACCTCGATAGGATTTGACATCTTGAGTGATGGTTGATGATGACAGAGAACCCGCTACTAGAGATGAAAAAGAAAGAAAACAATCACTCTATAGTTTCTCTATCTACTATACTACTTTGTTATTGACACGCTTAAGTTTCGTTGTCATGGTAATTTTTAGCGGGTCATGGTATTGTAAACCGACCCCCCCGGCTTTACATGGTATCGTAAACGTTTTCTCTGAGGGGAAGGCCCCGTCCATCTCGCTTGGTCCATCGCCTAATCGGGCGAAGTTTCTAGCTTCAATTACTGGTACATACAGGAGCAAAAATCGGGGTGATATTACTGCTGCAGTGCTATGGCAGCACTGGGGCAGTTCAAAGAATGCCGCATTGTTAGGGGAATGCGGTTCTATAGCTCACACTGCGGAAATAACAAACTGGACTGGAGATATTGGCCTTCGGGCTGGTCGGGTGCGGATGTGTTGAGCCTCAACCTCACACGAAGTGTGACCCCTCCCCGTCTTGACTATTTAATTAGGAGGCCAGTCCAAATCGAAATCGTTACCGAACCAGATATGGCTGGGTGTGCTCAGTTGAACGCACTTAATACTCTAACGGGGACTATGGGCGTAGGGACTATGAAGCCAAGGAATACAACCGAGGCGAAGACGTGGACGTAGGAAGTTCGTGGACTATGGACTATGGGGCCGAAGGGTACACCTAAGGCAAGAACGGAGACTGTGGACTATGGACTATGGATGGTTGTACCTGGTCTAGTATACCGGGTAAACCCTATGACGTAGCGCGAACCAAATAGTATTCGTGACTGTAAAGTACAGAGGTTGCATAAAGAGAAAAGAGAAAGAAAGAGAAACAAGAAATCACGAGACAACGCCCCCCTTATATATCCATACCCTATCCCAATGCTGACTCATACCCTCGCGTAACAGAAACAAATAGAACATAATAGAAACCCACTTCACTAAACCCAACCACACTGCATAATCCTTCTCCCTTGTACCCAGACAACTCACATAGCCAATCCGTCTAGCTGCCGTTACAGACCACTCCCCCCTCTACGGCCTACCTCCTGGTAGGCTTAGGCTTCCGTGGATATCGTTCGTGAAATCGTTTGACAATATCAGGCGAGTGTTCGACATCCGACAATGGCTGCCACGAAGCTTCGTCATAACCGGCATACTTAACCAAGTATTCAAATCTTCCTCGACGATCCCTGGAATCCAAAATATTCTCGACTTCCCACTCCTCCTGTCCTTCAACTTCGACCGGTGGTGGTGGTAACTGTTGTTGTCCTGGTAGGGGATCAATGGCTTCCGGCGACAGTAACGAAACATGAAATACAGGGTGGACCTTCATAGAACGAGGAAGTTCTAATTCATAGGCATAGGGATTGACAATTCGTTTAATAACATATGGCCCAATACGCTTCCAATCGAGTTTCTTCGAGGGTCGTTTGGTAAGGACATGGCGGGTGGATAGGAAAACCTTATCTCCCACACGATAGTGAGGAGCGGGAGCCCGACTGGTATTGGCCGACTCTTCTTGAATCCTTTGCGCTCGGAACAACTCATCTCGTAGAAAATCTAATACCTCCTTCATCTCCCGTGCGATACCATTAGCCTGATCCTCTGCTGTCGTCCTACCATGTTCCAAAGGACCGAACGTCATTCTTGGATTTCGTCCTGAATTGGCAAAGAAAGGAGATATCTTTGTTGTTTCTGAAGTGTGATTGTTGGTCGCAAATTCAGCCATTGGTAACCATCGAGTCCAGTCATCTTGTTGATAGGAAACATAACTCCGAAGGTACTGTTCCATCACGGCATTAATCCTTTCCGTCTGCCCATCCGTCTGAGGGTGGAACGCAGTAGAAAACTTTGGTGATATTTCCAGACGGTCGCAAAGAGACCTCCAGAATTCCGCAACGAATTGTGTCCCTCGATCGGATACCATAGTGTCGGGTAACCCATGTAATTTCCAAACATTGTCAATATACAGTCTCGCTACTTCCCTTGAATCCGCCTCCTTTGTTGTTGGTATTAGGTGTCGCATCTTAGTTAACCTATCCACCACGACCAAGATTGCATTGTATCCATCGCTCTCTGGGAGGTCGGTAACAAAATCCATTGACACATCTGTCCATGGTCCATCGGGTATTGGCATAGGTCGAAGTACCCCATAAGGTGCATTGCGTGGTGCCTTGCTCCGGGCACACACACTGCAATTCCTAACGTACTGGTCGACATATTTTCGCATCTGTGGCCAGTAGTACTCTCGATTCAGGAGTTCCAAAGTCTTCGCTCTACCTGGATGGCCTGCCGATGGTTTGTCATGATGTTCCTTTAGGAGTCTTAGCCGAAGGTCGTCGACATCCGGTACATAGAGTGCGCCACGGTAAAGTAGCCGACCGTTATTATCTTCCGTACATTCGGCAAGCGAGATCTTATTCGAGTGACGGACGCCGTTCCGAAGCATCGCGAGTACTTTGTTCGGGAAACTGTCAACTTGGTAAGCATTTAAAAACAACTCTTCTACAGTGGACATTCCTTCAGCGGATTCATTTGAAAAAGAACCCGCGAACAAACTTAGCTTTGCATCTAAATTTTTTCGCTTCAACACCACTTGACTCTGATGGGTCAACCGCTCATCCCCTTCTTTAGGCAGGTCACGCGACCTCCTAGTCAATGCATCTGGTTTCGCCCCTTGTTTTCCTGGTCTAAATTGAATGACGAAATCGAAACGTGAAAGAAATTCCGACCAACGGGCTTGTCGACGGTTTAATAACTTTGTTGACATGAAATATTCAAGGTTCCGATGGTCGCTCAGAACTTCAATTGGGAATTGTGCCCCCTCTAAATGATGTCGCCATTCCTCAAAACATCGTACGATCGCCAGGAGTTCTTTGTCATAGATCTCATAGTTACATTCCGCAGGGGAATGTTTCTTAGAGAAGAAAGCGACTGGATGTAGAATTCCTTCGTTGTCACGTTGGGACAGGATTCCAGCAGAAACATAGTCGGATGCATCGGTTTCTACCACGATTTTCCGATCCGGATCAAAATGCATTAGTATGGGTGCCGTTATGAACATCTTCTTCAATATCTGGAATGCCTCCTCCCTCTCATCCGTCCATTCAAATTTAATATTTTTCTTGGTCAAAGCCGTAAGCGGAGCAACAATCCTTGAATATCCTAAAATAAACCGTCGATAGAAATTCGCAAATCCCAAAAATACTTGAACATCATGAAGGTTCCTTGGTGTAGACCACTCCAAAACATCGACAACTTTCTTCGGATCCATTCGATTCCCATCCGGGGTGAGAATCAAACCAAGATACTTTGTTTCTTGAACCATAAACTCACACTTCTCAGGTTTAAGATGGACATGATTCTCATCAAGTACCTTCAAAACCTTTTGAATGTGTTCCTTGTGTTCCGATAGAGTTTCGGAATAAATCAGGATATCGTCCAAATACGCCGTTACAAATTGGTCGAGGTAGGGGCGTAGAATATCATTAATCCAATGTTGAAAGGTGGCGGGGGCGTTGGCTAATCCAAACGGCATTACTGTATACTCGAAATGTCCATATCGAGTTCTAAATGCCGTTTTCCATTCGTCTCCCTCCGCTACCCTGATCTGATTGTATCCCCAACGTAGATCCAACTTGGTATAGTACTGTGCCTTCGAAAGTTTAGCCAAAGTTTCCTTTAACAGTGGTAACGGGTACCGATTTTTGACTGTGATCGCATTGAGACCTCGGTAATCCACACATAGCCGGAGAGTCCCATCACTTTTCTTTACGAATAGTATAG